ATTTGGTGCAGGGTTTGCTGGGTCCAAAACTGTAGGGGGGTTTGGATCTGGATCTGAGGGGTCAACAAGTGCATCTGGCTCCTCTATGTCGGCTTTTGGAAAGACTGCTGGCTTCGGTGCAACAATGCAAGCTGGAAGTAACTTTGGGACAAACACATCAAGTAGCACCTTACCAGGATTTGGAACAGCTGGAGGTTTTGGACAAACAACGGGTAAGAAGATCAAGTTAAACACATTCTGCAAGCTCTGTCATTCTTTGTTTTGTCAATGATAAAAAAATGATCATCTATTATAAACTGAAAGGTAATTAACCTATAGTTTGATGTTAGAAGAATTTTTAAAAAACATCATGGCAAATTTCATCATGTTCATTGATAACTAATTAGTTTAAATTTAAAAAAACAGGTGTGATAAAATTAAGAAACTTTGTCTGTGTGTAGGTTCATTATTTGGACCTGCATCTACATTTGGAGCATCAAGTACAAAAGGAAATGGAAATCAGCCAATTTCAACCACAGGGAATACTTCAGATCCCAAACCTGGACTTTTTGGTCTGACTGCAGCTTTTCCATCACAGAGCACAGGAAATGCTGGATCATCCAATCCTAGTTCTGCATTTCAAGGATCAAAACCCACAGCCAGTAATGCAGGAAAATTATCAACAGGAAGTGGGGTATTTGGATCAGGAAGTGCACCTTTTGGGGGAACATCTTCCATCCCAAGTGTAGCATTTGGTGGACCACCCACCACAAAAAGTGGATTATTTGGAACATCCACTCAGAAAGCTGACTCTGTTTCACAAGGAGGTGCCCTCTTCAAATCTACTGCACAAACCAGTCAAACAGGCCATCTGTTTGGAGCTAGTGCATCAGGAACTTCAGCCTTATTTCACCAAAAGCCCCATGGGGAATCCCAGCAATTGTTTGGTAAGCCCGCCCCCACCTCTTCCTTTGTAGGGGGAGGGGAATCCAGCAGCAAGGCCTTCGGTTCTGGAGGACCTTCAGAAGGGGGAAATACAGGTCCTGTGTTAATGGGTGGCAAATCTTCAGGGGAAATCAAAGAACTTTCTCCACCGGCTTCTGTGTTCATACTTAAGGAGTCAGTCCCACGGCCTATACAGTCCACAGCTGCCACAGATGGTGAGTTGTATTGTAATTTAGAGGTAATTTTAAATTTTATCTGGTATTTCAAGTAAATGCTCTTTATGCATGTAAAATTTAAAAAAAAATTGTACTGAAAAGGTGAAGAGGAGAATTGAGCTAAATTCTTAATATGTAATGTAATGTATATTTACAGTTGGAATACTTTGCATCATAATGTTATGTTTTAGTTGATGTCGATACAGTGACCTCCAAATCCAAGAAGAATTTGTTCAGTAGAGTAGCTAATGTGGTCCAAAAACCAGGTAATATAAGTATTTTAGCAGAGAATACAAAATGTTTTAGAATGGCTTGGTTTTAATGTCTCTCTAGGATTGGTTTAAGGTACATACTATCTCTGGAATATCTATCCTCAAATATTGTAAATTACTTTGATTATATACCAAGGCTTTCGTATGACTAGACTCGACAGTACATTTTACTGAATCTGTGAAAACTTGATGGAATTGCTAAATTTTGCTGCTTATTTATCAAGATTGAACCATATCTTTGACATAATTTTGAATGTATTAAGTTTTATTAAGCATTATTTTTAACCAAAAAAAAAATTAAAATAAAATTTTTAAAAAATATTTTTCCAATCATTGTTTATTATTTATTCTTTAAAAGATGAATATTTCTATTCTTTAGGGAATTAATTTTCATTAAAATTAGGTTTTAGTTGTGAATTTGTAATTCTTATTAATCTTTAGCAGGTGGTGCCCAAGCTCTTTTTGGTAAGGCAATACATGTAGCTGGTACACAACAGATGACCTGGAGGAGGGGTTCCATTGGAGAGGAGGGGAGAAAAATGAAGAGGAGGTCTAGTGATGAAACAGGTAAATCTAGTGATGAAACAGGTAAATCTAGTGATGAAACAAGTCAATCTCATGATGAAACAGGCAAATCTAGTGATGAAACAGGTAAATCTCGTAATGAAATGAGCAAATCTAGTGATGAAACAGCTACATGTATATCTCATGATGAAACAGTTAGATCTAGTGATGAAACAGGTAGATTTTGTGATGAAAAGGTAGATCTAGTGATGAAACAGCTAGATCTCATGATGAAACAGGTAGACCTAGTGATGAAACAGGTAGCGATAAAATTTGATCAAAAATAGTTTTCATTTTATGTTGTTAATGATACTTAAATTCTTAATAGGGGTGAAACAATTCGCCTCTTTTACAGTTCGATACATATCATAAAATTTGGTCTCGGTTTGGTTATTTTCGATACAACACAGAAATTTGGTTCATAAACCTCAGCCCAAAGCCTGTTACAACTGATTTCTAACCTTTTACTTTGAAATAAAGGGAAAACACTGCTTATCTAAATCTTGTCCTATTTTTAGAGGAGGAAACTCAAGCCAAAAGAGCTTTATCCACCAGAAGACTGTCCAGTGTTGAGGACAGAGTAGGTCTGATCTGTAAGAACGTCCCTCCTCGCTTCAACAGTGGCCAGAAACTGCGACAACATTTCACCAAGTTTGGGGAAGTCACCCGTGTTATACCCAAGCCAGACAAAGGAATGGCCACCATTCATTTTAAAACTCATGTGAGATATGATCTTGAAATTTTATTGATGTTAAGTTTTATGTTTAAAGTTTTTGAAGAAATTTAAGGATCTTTACTATTCATGAAAAATATTTTATTATACAGCCAAAGTCAAACCTTGTTATCTCAAATTCAATGGAACCGAGAAAAAAAAATCTTAAAGATATGGAAAGATTCTAGATATCCTATTGTAATTAGGAAGATTTACATACTGTAAAACTCATGTTTCTTTTTCCATTTGGTCATAATTCAATGAAATCCCAATTTTTTTTTTAAAATCTGATGGTAAAAAATTATGTAGAATAATTTCTTCCCTTTTATCTCTTAAATGTACTTTAAGAAGATTCGATTGCAAAGTACAGTTAAGACAAAGTGGCAATCCATCAATAAAAGTATAAGTACACTGGCAAAAATTTCTTTGAAAAATACATGTACATGTACATGTATGTGACCATTTACATAATGTAAATTTAACATTAAAAAAAATGTACCCTACATATATATTGTAAATTAAGTTTGTTTTGTATATATATTGGAAATTAACTTTTTTATGTTTAAAGGAAGCTGCTTTAGAGGCCAAGAGAAAGGGGGCAGTCATTATGAAGGGGGAGAAGAGGATGGAAATATTCTGGAGTTCTTTTTCTCCCGCAGCAAAGGCTCTAGGGCGAAAATCCTCAACAGAGGACACATGTGCCCCCCAAGGCCCCATCAAGAGACAAGCCCAAGGTCAGGAAGTTGTCAAGGGAGATAATTACTGTTCTGATTTTAAACAAAATATTTTCCATGTCATTAAGACTGTAAATGGAAAATGCTCAGTCCTACAGCTCGTTTTTTTATAGGACCAGTTATCTAAGTCAAAACGAAAAGGAAATGGTAGATATTTATTAAATAAAAAAGCCTCCACAAATACTTAATTTACATCATAAATGGTTCTTTCTTCATCAAAGGTTTACAAAGCACTGCATTTCGTTTTTCATTCAGTTCTGTAACAAAATAATAAATAAACAGCATAAAAAAAACTAATGTTAGCAACTTACAATACTGTATAGTGTTAACAAAACTGATATTCTTCTGTATAGGTAAAGCTGGAGCTAGCCAATTTAAGTGGAGGAGGAATGAAGTGGATGAAGAACTGGCTAGTATGTCTGGTACGAGCGATATCATTGGTCAGAAACAACAGATCCTGCCACGTTCTGAGGAGGTCAGAGGTCAGCAGTCACAATCTGCTGAGCGAGCCAGTCGACATGCCAGTCCTGTACCGAGTGGATCAAATTCATCTCCAGCAATACCCACCAAAATAGACAAAGGTACTTATAACTTCACACTACACTACACTGAAAAGAAGCTTTTAGGCATATATAAGACTAGGATTTAAATAAATATTTTAAATGAAGAAGTCAAACAGGATTTCAATTTTCAAATATCAATTTACCTAGAATATTTACCAGACAGTATATAAAAGACACTTTTCCCCTAGCTGTTGATTAGAGCTGATGTGCAACTTAACAGGAAATGCATTATGTCATTTAAATGCAGATATATTGTCTAGAAAATAGCCAATCCATAACTTAGACTTATTTTCTACAGGAGCTGTCATCAGTCTGAAAAATTCTGTTGCCAGAAGCAACTCAGACAAGCTTCAGATTCTTAATTTACGTGACAAAGTGAATCGTCTTGGTGAGGATACAATCTTATTTTGTCTTATTTCATTTATATATTTTTCTAACGAAATGAAAACCAGATTCTGATAACTTATATTTTTTAGTAACATTACAGTTTAATTTTGAAAGAACTGTGATTTGATGTGACTATGCATCTTAAAATATAAGGAAATAAATAAAGAGACCTTTGTTTATAGGACCTAAGAAGCAGTCAGACCTAGCTATGGCCCGAGCCTTTGTAGGGACGTGTACAGATATGTGTCCTGAGAAGGAGAGATACGACAGAGAGGAGAAACGCAGACTTCACCCTTACGAGGTTTTACAGACCTCAGAAGGGGTGAGTGTAATAATTGGGGTTAGCTGGGTTAAATAATGATAGTTTTACACACTTTCCTTGAAGTAAGGCCATGGACCAAATTTTATCCCATTTGAAACAAATTAAAACCATTAATTCTTGACCTCTCAAAGAGTGCTACATGTTTGTGAAATCTTTTATATCTCTAGGTCTACATGTAATGGTGTCACTTTAATATAGGATTAAAGATGTATGAATTTCTCCTATGGCATAAATGTTATGAATAATGAAGAAACTGAATAATCTTCATTTAATCTGTAGTATTTTAATAAACATTTGATGTTTATTTACCGATTGCAAATGTAAAATTCTGTTTTGATGATTCATGCCTGTAATGGTGTTCTTATTATATGCCATGTAAAATTAATTATACATCTTTACCTGAGTTATCCCTCTTTCTTGACAGTCTGGTAATCCCCTGGTGAACCATGCATTGGCTGTGAAGGAGTACAGCAGATCCTCAGCTGATCAGGTCTGATTCAGTTATTCAGAAATACAATAAATAAGAACTTTATACGGTGCCACATTACTATTTAGACGTTATCTGTAGATCTATGTTTAATAGATTGAAATGCTGCTCAGTTTTACTTTGCTTCATATTCAGTATTATTTAAATTATATAATATTTATGTCATTCTTGTAAAGATTTTACAAAGCAATTTTTATATGCATGTTTACATTACATCTCTTCTTACTTTAATTTGTTCAATCTGGAAAAAATAGTCTGGGGATAAATTTACATTATCCTTATTTATATTCTTGCCAATTGACACATTTTCTCGCCAGTTGACACATTTAAATATTCAAGATTTTTTTGTTACACAGGAGGAACCTTTGCCGTATGAATTGAGGACCCTTCCCACCCTGACCTTGACAATGACCTATTTACTGAGTGAGATTGCTGACCGGGGGGAGGATGGCAAGTGGGGGGATTGGTTTGATTTCCTTTGGAATAGAACCCGAGGAATTCGTAAGGTATGCAAAATATCAGTTTCTTTTATATTTAGCAAACAGCTGAAGGTAAGGCAGTAAAAGATATATATCTATTAGTGTCCTTCATTCTTGCTGGGCTTTGATGGTCGTGATGTAATTCACAATGGAGATAACAAATATGGGGAGAATTGAAGCAAAAGAAGAACATTTCTTTCTCCATTTTAATTACTTGTATCAAGTAAAGTTCCAGTCATAAATACACATTGTAGGAGATCACTCAGCAACAGTTCTGTAACGTAGAGAGTGTAGAACTGTTAGAGAAGTGTGTCCGTTTCCACATCTTCTGTGCGGAGCGACTCTGTGAGGAGGACATGCATTCATTTGATGACAAAATTAACAATGAGAACATGACCAAGTGTCTTCAGACTTTGAAGGAGAACTACTCAGATCTGGAGAAGAAACAGGTGTTCTGTGTCAATGAGGCAGAGATGAGGTGTTACATGGTGCTGATGAACCTGAACGAGGGCGATATTCTCAGGTCAGTATTACTTGATATCTCACTGGGTGAAATTAATGGTATCTCACAGGGCGAAATTAAAGTGAATGCTTTATGTACTTCATTTTAATGCTAAATACTTAACTGATACTGGTAACTCTTAGAAATATTCTCCCTACTCTATCACCATCCTAGATTCTGATCAAAATGTGTGAATTTTAAAATACATTACATGCTTTATTACAAAGTTGATCTACCTTAAAATATTTTATATGGAAGCTACATTTGTACATTTTTTTTTTTCAATTTTGGTGCATTATTATAAATTTTATTGTATATTTCGCACTTTTAGAGAAACCCAGCAGTTAAGACCAGAAGTTCGTAACTCTACTTTTATCAACTATGCCCTTAAAGTTTACGCAGCCCTCAACAGTAATAACTATGTCAGGTTCTTCCGTCTTGTTAGGGAGGGGTCTTTTCTCCGTTCCTGTATTCTACACAGGTAAGTTTATTTATTTAGTCTTGCTGCAGATCAATAGATCTCTAGGTATGGTTTCAATATTTTGGACTAATGACTAGAAAGCTATAGTATTGATAACATAAACTATATTGAACACCTGAAAAGAGAGCATGGTTGAGAGTTACATGTGTGTGTGTCAGATTTAATAGTTTTAAAGTTTAAATTTCAAAATGTCATTATTCATGTTTTCCTTAAATATTCCTTTACTAATTCTTCAGCAAAAATTCCCTGCAATTGTTTTAATTTAAGAGCTTTCTTGGGCCTGAAATAACCTGAAATAGTCTAACAACAATAATTTATATTAGATCAACATAAATAGAGTTGTTTAATTCGTCACAATCATTAAAATTTTCTAGTAAGTCTTTTTCTTTGGAAAAGAAATAAATATATAATTTGTTTTGTAGATATTTTACTCAAGTTAGGAAGAAGGCATTATATATCCTGGTGAAAGCACATCGCAAGGGAGTTCAGGTAAAAGATGCTTGTAAACAAGTTTCAGTTAATAAACATAATATAATAGAAACTGATAATTACAAAACACTTAGAACTAATTAATTATTTTTACAGAAGAATAGATGTTACAGGTTTACATGATTTTGTTGTGCTATTTCCAGCTACCATTGGAGGATTTAGTGAGGACCCTGAGTTTTGATGACCAGAGTGAGGCTGCCCAGTTCTGTCAGTTCTTTGGACTGACCACAGTGGACAACTCTGTGACTCTGGACAAGGCAACGTTTATAGAACCGGAAGAAAACTGGTGTCCACGGCGATCAGCTCTCATAGAGAGGAAACTCGGCACATCTATTGGTGAGGTATGTCATCTTTATTTTTGAGAATCTGTTTTTGTGTCACTTTTGCAAGACTTTGAAAGCATGCATTTCAAATGCATGTATGCCTTGCTTTCATGAGTCCCATTACCTGACAAGAATACAACTTTATATCACAAGTTTTTTTTCTTGCTTACCCTTTTGCCACAACATTACGCTTGTTTGATTCACATTAACTTTGCACTTTGGCTTACGTGAGCCGAAAAGATCAAGTGAGCTAAAAAACGGGTTAATGATCATCTATTGTCCAGCTTCCAAATGTCTTCCTGTCCCTTGTTTCTAAACGTATTACATTTTCGATAATTACTTTGGAATGCATAAAAAAAACTTGAAAAACCTTCTACCTGAGAATCACTAAATTATAAAATATAAAACTTATTTGAAGGTTTCCTGAAGAATTGTAGATTTTGAATATGAAAAACATGACTCTGTAAGGTGGGCCCACAGTTAGGGATCAAAGTTTTACTTTGAAACATAAATGTATAGAAAAATATTCTCAAAGACAGCAAGTTTGTGATTATTCATATTTACAGGAAACATTCTTTGATAGTGTAAATTCAAATTTGATTAAATCATGACCCCAATGGTATGGTGGGTCACAATATGTGATAAAAGTTGTAAAAGGGTTTTGAACAGCAGAGCCGAAGTGATTTAGGCAAGCATTTTGGCCCAGAGATTTCTTCCATATTTCCCCAAAACATTTTTACCCCCCATAATGTGGTAACGTAACATCAGAAATCAACATATAAGATAGTTTATTAAATATGACTAACATGGCCTTGTTGTTATTATAGTATTCTCAAGAGTATTGTATTTTTTCCCCTTCTGGAATATCTGTGCTAGCTCAAGGACTATATCTGTATTTGTTGTATCTAGGCAATATATGGAGGGCCATTACCAGCTTTCTCATTACCAGAACCAGAGAACAGCTTCGATAACAACGGGAAATTTGTTGGGCAGATCATCGTCAAAGATTCAGGTTTGTGTTTGAACAACAGAAGCAAAGATAAACTCAAATTCTAATGCAATTGTTTTCTGAAACACATTTTTATTGGCTAATGCACTGATGTTTGAAGCAGTAAAACGAGCATTAACGAGAGTGAAAGCTTTTCATTCTGACGTCATAATAGAGCGACGCAAAAACACAATGCCCTGTGACGTATTTCATGTAACAAGACTCGACAAAATAAGCCATATAAAACAACAAACAAAATGCATAGATTGCATTAGAATGGAAATAACACTCTTCTAATTTGGTATTTGTGACCATTAATGCTGATTTATCTGCTCGTTTTAACAACTCCACTTACGGGTCGCCGGTAAAACTCAGTTTGTGACCTTTAAATCAGCATTAACGGTCACAAATACCAAATTAGAAGATAGTTATTCCCTAATTTAAACTTTCAAAGATCTGAATGGGTAAAGTTAATTGTAAGAGAATGTAAATGACAGTAGTATCACTAAGATCAAAATGTTTATTTTCAGATTTTGTGGATTCTCCAAGGAAGGATGCAATCAAAGGATACAATGTACCTGATCATGTATCTGTGTCAACAGATAAAATGGCTGCTCCACAACCTTCTCTTGCCCCAAAAGTCAAGGTCACTTACACAAATGAGGTAAATGTCATATGGTATCGTATTATGTGCTTACTAAACGTTGTGTAATATTATTTCCTGAAGAAATGCCATACATGTACATGTTTTCATTTTTTAAGGGGTTAACCGTAAGTAAAAGAGTTTGCATGAGGCAACTTCAATACATGTATTGCTGATCAGCCTAAAGTTTATTACGATTAGATGTGCCATGAATTAAGTTTCATTCTGATAATCTTTTCAGGAAGTGAAGGAGACTGCCAAATTCCTATTCTGGGAGGTCATTGACAACATGTGTTTAGAGATTGGACAGGAAGCAAAGCGGGAGGTGGATACACTAATGGAAATCTCACAGTACTTGTATGATTCTATAACAGGAGAGGTGGTCGCTGAATTTGTGTCGTAAGTTTATTTTCTTTAGGCAATGCTGAAATTACTTAAAACAGACAAATATGAGTGAACTGCAATGCTCCTGGTGGCTACAAAGTTCATTTTGACTTTTTGCTATACTTAAAATAAATGAAACATCCACTATGACAATAAAAACTTTGTGTTACATCATTTTTATTATCAAGGATAATGTATGGACAGACAGACTACAGGGTTGCTTGTCAATAAAATAGTTCAAAACAAATTTCCTAACAAACATTAAAAAAACTATTTCTACAGGATTTATACCATGTGTACTGTGGTTCTCAAAATCTCACATGGAATCGAAACGATCAACGTAGCAATGAAATGTTAAGTTCAATATACATGTACATCATATATTGCAAGGAAATGGCCATCCATGTTTTCACTTGATGCAGTGCTGCTTTAATTTTTTTTAATAACTTTTATGCCATTTTAAACATCTTCATAAAAAAACAGGAGCATGTATATATTAAAACAGTAAATATAGCCTGTTCCAGATTGTTTGCCATAATGTTAAATTAGGTTGGGTTAGACTAAAACACCAAAAGACAAGAAAAAAGGTCACAATTTTTTTTCTGGCTTTAGTTTTATTCTTTGGCCACAATAAAATTTTTATTTTTTATGTATTATTTTAATCTTTAAGTAACATTTTATGTTACTTCAATAGCCTCCCCCCCCCCCCCCCCCGGCCAAAAAAAAGTATTATATTTTCTCTGTATAAACTTTTTTTTCAATTAAAAAATACTCTAAGAGGGTTCATTTTGTTTTATTTTTTTACATGGTATTTGATTAAATGTTAAGTGTTATAAAGTGCGCAATTAATATATGTCTAATTCCCCCATTAAAACTTTTAAAACTTAAAGATACAGTGATTCAGATAGTCTTTGAACTTGACAGCATTTCAACCTTTCTGCTTACATTAATTAATGATAAGTAATAATGATAAGTAATCTACAATATATCACAATATATTGCAATATTCAAAGTAAGATAATTGCAATATGGTTTTCACTCACAATACCCGACTCTATTGGCTATCATTAATTTCATGGGATGTCACATTACAGAAAATATTTAATCTTTTTAACTTTTCCGTTGTACTCAGCAACAAACAGATTGTCACTTTTGTCTACACATAATCCGTATGGATCCCTTAGATCACAGTTATATATATAACGGAGGAACTGTCCATCCTGATCTAGGATGTGGATACAGTGGTTATCACAGTCTGCTGTCAGGATCTGACTCTGGCTGTCTGTTGAGATACCACAGGGTATAAATGGTTTGTTCTTTCTAGTAGAAGGACGACCAGTGTATCTAAATCGGAGTTTTCCAGCCTGATTGACCACAACTACAACACCAGCTTCATAGTCAGCCACACAGATATCCAGGTTTCTATTCTCACTGATATACTTAATGTAGTCATTTCCTGAATACAGAGGTTTACCCTCCTCATCAAACTGGATTGTTTGTTTCTCTGTGGAGCCTGAGTAACGGACAACTCTGGACTGTGTTTTACTGAACATAGAAATTAATGGATGACCACCACTGTACATGGTAACCAGGAGATCACCAGAGGAGGTGACACAGAGTTTACTAGGTATCCATCCCTGTAGTCTGATCACCCCCTCTGTCTGTCCCTTCTTCACTTTATAAATGGTCCTCGTCTTCCAGTTACAGTAAACTAGATCCCCATCACTCGTCACTGCTATATCATTTGGATATTCATCTGATTTTGTTTTGATTGTCTTGGTAAGTGAGCTTTGAATATTGAAGCATTTTATATCACTGATGCTACGTGCACGTATCCAGATTTCTTCTTCACTGAGACAGGCAACACTGCAGAGTTCTTCAAAACCAGTATCTATAGTGATGATAAGTTCTGGTTCTTTCAGAAATTTTTTAGTTTGTGTATTTGTTTTTTTCATTATGTAGCCATTTTTATCTGTTTTGGTGGAAAATGGTGTCAAAAATCCCAAAAACATATAAAGCTGTTCGGTATCTATTATCTTTGGGATAAATGTTGGCATTGATACCTGAACTTTTGGAGGGAGTTTTCTGAATTCTTTGGTTTTAGAGCTATACTCTATAGTCAAAGATATTTCATTTGATTCTTCCACTTTTTTTAGACTAAGCCGTGTTTCTTCAATAACTAACTGTGTCTGTTTGATTTCATCCAGATGTTTCTTCAGAATGTTCTGGTGTTTGATTTTCATCTCTTTTATTTCTGTTGTTAGTTTGTTGACAATGTTGTCAATTTCTTTGTGCCATTCTTTTCCATGGGTTTTCACTTCTGTTGTAAGTTTCTCGTATTCTCTCTCTAAGTTTTCTATCTGGATTTCTGTACCAGTGGCAATTTCTTCATATGTTGGGGAAATTATGCTTTCTATATCCTCTAAGTCTTTTTCAATCCTTTGTCTCTTTGACTCGTAAACTTCAAATAGGGTTGATAATTGATGTTTCTTATGATTTTCAGATAGTGAGCATGTAGCACAAATAGGGATGTCACATTCTTTGCATTGTAATTCACAGGTTTTGGTTGGATGTGTTGCACACGTAGGATAAATTAAGGTGGATTTTCTTTGAACGAATGGGACAATTTGGTGTTTGCTATAGTCATCAGCAATGTGTTCTCCTATACAGGGTTTACAGAGGTTGACATGACAGAAATCACAGTACATCTGAGCTATTGCTTTCTTACAAAGGTCACATCTGCTCACATCCTGGGCACTTTTGTGGGGGTCCATGATTGCCTTGAATCTAAAAAATTATAGATTTCTTTATTTATTCATAATTTTTAAAACAATCATAATGAAATTTGAATTTGAAATCGAAACACTTTAATTTGTAATACAGTGTATAAGTCTTTTAATTGTACTTGGAAAAACTTGACAGATTATTAGAAGATATCAAATAAATGTTACGGAGAAGTCAAATATATTTTTTTAATTTTAAACATGTAAAAAAAGAACTATTTTGAAAATTTTCTATCTCAAACCTTTTTTAATATGTTTAATGGACATAAAGAGAGTATCGATGAATAGAAATAACTGCAGTTGTTTATGTCCATGGAGAAAGTACATGGAAATAATATGCATGTTCAATTAATTTATCCTTGCCTTTTAAGATGTTAAGAATACTTGAATTGATTACAAATTGTGTAATAAGATGTGAATTTCTATTTTTAGCTCACCTGAGCCGAAGGCTCAAGTGAGCTTTTCTGATCACATTTTGTCCGTCGTCCGTCTAGCTGTCCGTCTGTCTGTCTAGCTGTCCGTCTGTCTGTCCGTCTGTAAACTTTTCACATTTTCGACTTCTCAAGAACCACTGGGCCAATTTTGACCAAACTTGGTACAAAGCATCCTTGGGTGAAGGGGAATTTAAATTGTGAAAATGAAGGGCCAAGTCTCCTTACAAGGGGAGATAATCAAGAAAAGACAAAAATAGGGTGGGGTCATTAAAAAATCTTCTTTTCAAGAACCACTGAGGCAAAAAAGCTGAAACTTTTGTGGAAGCATTCTGGGGTAGTGTAGATTCAAATTTGTAAAAATCATGACCCCCGGGGATAGGGCGGGGCCACAATGGGGAATCAAACTTTTACATAGAATTATATAGGAAAAATCTTTAAAAATCTTCTTCTCAAGAACCACTGAGCCAGAAAAGCTGAAACTTACGTGGAAGCATCCTTAGGTAGTGCAGATTCTTAATTTTTAAAATCATGACCCCCGGGGATAGGGCGGGGCCACAATGGGGAATCATACTTTCACATTGAAAGATATAGGAAAAATCTTTAAAAATCTTCTCAAGAACCACTGAGCCAGAAAAGCTGAAACTTACGTGGAAGCATCCTTAGGTAGTGCAGATTCTAAATTGTTAAAATCATGACCCCCGGGGATAGGGCGGGGCCACAATGGGGAATCATACTTTCACATTGAAAGATATAGGAAAAATCTTTAAAAATCTTCTTCTCAAGAACCACTGGGCCAGAAAAGCTGAAACTTATGTGGAAGCATTCTTAAGTAGTGCAGATTCTAAATTGTAAAAATCATGACCCCCGGGGATAGGGCGGGGCCACAATAGGGAATCAAAGTTTTACATAGAAATATATATGAAAAATCTTTAAAAATCTTCTTCTCAAGAACCACTGAGTCAGAAAAGCTCAAACTTATGTGAAAGTATCCTGGGGAAGTGTAGATTCTAAATTGTTCAAGTCATGACCCCCGGGGGTTGGGCAGGGCCATAATGGGGGATCAAACTTTTACATAGCAATATATATAGGAAAAATCTTTGAAAATCTTCTTCTCAAGAACCACTGGGCCAGAAAAGCTGAAACTTACGTGGAAGCATCCAGGGGTAGTGTAGATTCTAAATTGTTCAAATCATGACCCCCGGGGGTTGGGCGGGGCCACAATGGGGAATCTCAGTTTTACATAGAAATATATAGGAAAAATCTTTGAAAATCTTCTTCTCAAGAACCACTGGGCCAGAAAAGCTGAAACTTGTGTGGAAGCATCCCAGGGTAGTGTAGATTCCAAATTGTTAAAGTCATGAACCCTGGGGGTTGGGCAGGGCCATAATGGGGGATCAAACTTTTACATAGCAATATATATAGGAAAAATCTTTGAAAATCTTCTTCTCAAGAACCACTGAGCCAGAAAAGCTGAAACTTATGTAGAAGCATCCAGGGGTAGTGTAGATTCTAAATTGTTCAAATCATGATCCCCGGGGGTTGGGCGGGGCCACAATGGGGAATCAAAGTTTTACATAGAAAGATATAGGAAAAATCTTATTCTCAAGAACCACTGGGCCAGAAAAGCAGAAACTTATGTGGAAGCATCCTAGGATAGTGTAGATTCTAAATTGTTCTAATCATGTCACCCCCGGGGGTATGGTGGGGCCACAATGGGGAATCAAAGTTTTACAATGTTGAATAAAAGCATCCTATGGTAGTGTAGATTTCAAATTGTTTAAATTATGATCAGTTGGGTAGGGTGGGGTCACAATATGTATAACAAGGGGAAAATCTGGTAAAGAACGGAATGTTCAAAGCTTCTCAGGTGAGCGATGTGGCCCATGGGCCTCTTGTTTAGAATTCAAATCAAAGAACAGATCACTTAAACTGCAAAAAAAAAAATGCCATAGAATCAGAACTTTTTAGTGTGCAGTGTAGAGATTGTTCTTAATTATTTCCTGTAAATTACCCGATTTCTTAAAAAGAAATTAATACCTTGAAAATGAAACTATAGTCTTATTCTTCTCTCTATCTCTGCAAATATAAAAATCCAGAAACAGACTTTGTCTCTTTCATTAAGTCTTAATTTTTTAAGGGACCACTAAAAAGAACTTTCAGGTTAAAATAAATCCATGGCTAATCACTGCATATGAATTATAGGAAAAGGAAACAGTACCTTGGAACAGCTGATATTTTATAAGTCATTCTCTCTGTCTCTGCAAAAACAGAAATTAGGGTGTTACTTTATCACCTGATTGTATATTAGGTTAAAATACAGGTACACTTCCTGTCATGTGTCATTTAGAGTTATCTCTCTTGTTTTATTCTTTTGTGTAGTTATGTACTTATTTTTGTCAGTAAAATACTTACCATCTAGTGTCATTTAAAAATTTTTTTATACAAGTAGTTGGCTTAGATGGAATTCAAAATCAGATAAAACTGCAGTTAGATAATGTACTTTGTACAGTTTATAGTGAGATACAGAGAAAAGAAATAGATATATATGCATGTTTAAGAATATATTTCACTATCAAATCCTGAATGGAATAGTTAATCCCAAGTTCCTAACCACATGAACCAATCAAGGGAATATATTTTATCCTTCATGTACTTAATATAGATTTTACTCATGGTATTTATATGCTTTATGGAAGTTACTTAGGAAGATTGGGGAAAAAGTGAAGTGTCCCTGGACATGAACTTTCAATGATCAACATCTGGTTTTATTAACCTTTCTACTTTATTAAGGACCCTGGCCAAGCAAGCTGAGGCAGAAGCAGAACTACTGAGACAGAAACAACAGAAAGCTGAGAGAGAAGCCATGATAACTCGGTCAGCAGTGTATCTAACCAGTGAGATTCTGAAGGAAGTCCTGGATCAGGAGACATTGAATTTGTCCACTGCAGAAATCAGGTAGGATGCAGAATAATTCAGATTTTAGCCAACATGTAAACATGCATTAAAAATGTCAACCTGAAATTTCCAGATACTTGCTTATGTTAACATAATAAACTTTGAAGTACATTGTATTTTTAGGAAAAATGCTTATTATATCATTATAAACTTCTAATCTTCATGTATATTTGATAAAGAAATTGCTCTGTTCGTAGGGAAGTACATGCAGAATTAAAGAGACAAAGAATCCAGAGGTGTTCTGCAGAGATAGCAGATGTCATTCTGAACTCCTCCATCCAAGACATGACTCAATCTGTATCATCAGAAGTTTATCAGAAAGATGTCGTGGAAAGGCTTCAACAGTTAGCTGACCTTGAACACTGTGTCAAGGTCAAAAGAACAGGGCGCTATCTTAGAATGTGGAAAGCTCAGCACACTGCTCGAATTAAGTTTAAACGCTCCTTGCTAGACTTCCCTTCATCAATCTTCATGATGGAGCCAGCACAGCAGATAGAGGCCTTAATTCCAGAGAGAAGGGTGGAGGGGGTGGAGGAGGGAGGATTCTATGTGAACCAGACAACAAAATTATCTGTGGAGTCCCCAGTGATTTTTGTGAAGAGATCAGAGATGGAAGACAAAGTACTGACAGCTCATGAAATCTACAGGAATCTGTGTCGACAAAAAGCTTGGAAACCTTTGGACATTTGCTCTCTTGGTGGACATCATCTGCTGAAGAAAAATAGAGTGTCTTGTAAAAGTATGTCATTATTAGAGCTGAATAAAAAAAAATTGAAGCCAGACAACTTTGTTGAAATAACTGTTTTGAAATAAGTTGCATGTACATGTACTTTTTTTGTAGAAAATGCGAAGTGCAGCCAAGTGTTTTGGAAACTGGTGATTTCTTTACCTGACCCAGACTACATACAGACAGACCACCAAGGTCAAAGTCTCAGTCATCTTACTAAGTGGCTGAAGGCAAAATTCTCAAGAGGGACACCCAAATCACACCAACATTCTTCAGTACAGGTAAATCTAACCGCTTACATGTAATCAACAGGTATTTGAAAGATATGATTTGGAACTGCTAGTAAATCAAGAAAATCAAACATTTCACCAAAAAAGATGAGAAATGTTACAGATCAAAATTATTTCTATGTCAGTGTTATTTGTCTCTGTAAAATTACATATTTTTGTGGGGTCAAATTTTTGGGGTTTGAGGAAAAATATTGCTTTTTGGGGACTTTATTTTGGTAAAGAATGTTTAGAAGTAGTGTATTTGAAATTTTAAGTTTTCCTCACAATCCTGTGGTCATAAATTCACAGATCACTTCAAGCCCTCAAAACAATGAAATTTAACCTCTAACAAATATTAGTGATATCACAGTATTTAAATACATTATTTTTTAAACAATGACAGAATGAGCTGCTGAGTTTGTATACAGTACCAGTAACACATGAATCAATGTCGGGCAGTCTGGGTGTTTGTGTGAGGCTCCTGGAGGGTAATATATCCATTCCTGATGTACCTGGCTCCCTTCTTGGAACCTCTTGTCTTCTTTTTGTTATGCCTCCACCCCTCAATGAAGATCCAGAGTGGGTAAGCCAATAGTCCAGAGAGAGACATGTTAATTATTCCATTGAAAAATGCTGTAAAACATCATAAACTTCGCTTTCTTCATAGATTAGTAAAGGTCAAGGGTCTAGATATATGACTAACAATTTTAAGGGTTGTGAAAAGTACATGATTAAGGTATCACTGTCGAGTTAGTAGAGTATGCTAGGACATCAACGAATGTTAGAAACGTGGGATAGCTTCCATAACAACCATTCCTTATATTTCTATTACCTCGTGAAATAAAATTGTAAATTTGGACCTCTATCTCAAGATTTACACGCATATTAGGCTTCCGAAGCATCAGACACAAAGTCAGCTACACAAGATTTACAAGCATATTAGCTCCATTATTTAGCGTCAGACAAAAAGACTGACTCACAAGATTTATATGCAATTTAGGTGTTATATTCTGGTCTATCGCTTGGTTAAACTTGCATTCCAATAGAATAGTCAATATGTCAGTTGACTCAATTATACTAATTTTCAAAGAGTTAATCACATAGAAAACAAATAGAATGGAAATGTATTCTGATATTTCAGAAAAATTTTACAATATGGAAATTAAATAAAAATTGCTGCTTCAGTACATAATGATATTGATGTACAGTGTGCATGTCAAATGCTGACCCTCTCTGCATCACAGTGATGCATATTAATACATCTTTTGCTTTTTGACCATGAATTTTAAATGTTCTTTAGCTTCTATGGGAAGAAGAGAAGAGAAGATTAGAGGATCTCCTAATGAACAAACCAAACTCTCCTGCTCTCCCATTGGTTGTAATGTGTCCAGTCCCAGCCAATGAAAATGTAGATGAGGATTTTATAATGAGATGTCTGAATATTGATGAGTTGATTGCAGATGGGAAGATAGGTGACTTGTTCCTCTGTGTTGTGAAACATGATGAAGATTTTCCTCAAGGTGTGGATGTTGAGGAACCAGAGGTCACAGAAAAAGTAAGTGTTCAGATGCCAATAGTTCTGACCATTCTCTGAAATGCATTTATTCTCATTGCATATATGCTTTAAAGGTTAACTGAGGCCTAAAGGTCTTAATGTACACTGTACCCAGTAAAGTTTTGTTCTCTAGTTATCAGAGAGTGTGAGATGGCTGACAGAACACTCCCCTGATCCTCCCAGTTTGAGGGTCCAGTATTGTAGGACTGTGGTGGAGGACTTTATACAGGAGCAGTTCTACAGACCCGTGTTGTATAACCTGAAACAGAGAAAACTCACTGGATATCTACACCAGGTCAGCCTATTAACTGCATACTAATATGTAGCTTTTGTATTCATTGTTGTATGTTTTGAATGTATCCTTCCCTTCCTAAACACACAATTACATTTTCAGCTCGATCATCTGAACTGAAAGCTCAATTGAGCCTTTCTGGTCTGACTCTTATACCCTGTTCACACGATGAGTTTAAGGATACACCAAAGGCTTTTTTCAAGATTTTTGTCAATTTTGAGATTTTTGGCTAAGAAAACAATGCTAATCACTGCTTTATAATGCATGAAAAATTCTTGCTGATTATTAAATGGTTTTCTAATTATTCATAAACACTAACACATGTGAATGTGCCTTTATTGAAGCTGATTTGGTCTGTAACTGCCTGCTTCTGAAAGGAGCAATAAATTACTGTGACCGCTTGGGGAATTCTTCACTAGCCACACAGAGGTTATCAGTAATTAAACTACAGGGACTCTAGATTTAGGGAAGGAGATCTAACAGGTCACTAATGACCATGAAATAGGAGGTGGAGCTTAGCTCTTGCCATTTTGCCGGGAAATCTTTCTGATTCAGAATTGAACCTATTTTACTTCATTAAAAGCACCTAAATAAAGAATAGAACCTCCCATTCTTGTGAATAATCATAGGAAATATGGATAAGTGACAGGTATCCAAAGCTGAATCTCCAAGGTGTAATATATTTCCAGCTTTGGCAGACTTTGTTGTGTAATGGGTTTTTGCCCTCTACTGTAAAGTAAGATCAGACAGTTGGTGGTATTATTTGAAAGGATTCAGCTCCCTTATTTATTGACCAATTTCTCTGAAAACTGGCCAGAATGCGTCTCAAAACCGTATCTCAGATTTTTGATATCTTGCTCAGTTCTCGAATTATTGGGGGAAATGTAGAATTAGGCTAATAAATTGGTAACATTGAAAGACAAATTTATGGATGTAACTTTTGAATAAGAAGATTTATCAAAAATCTGAGATACGATTTTAAAGTTCAATCTTTTATCTACATTGAGGCAAAATTTTGACTTTGAGAGGTGGAATACAAAAAAGTTGATTTATAAAATATAAATTTATGCACTAATATTTACATTAAAATATTAATAAGTTTTTAATAAGATAAAATTGAAAATTTAAATTAGGATTATTAAATAGTGAATTTAATAAGCTTTCAAATGATATATACTTTTAATATGTTATCTTTGTTAATGAAAGAATTACAAGCAAATTAATTTTTGCCTTTTGGAAACCTTTGGTGTATCCTTAATTCGCAGGAAATTAATGCGAAGTAAACTAATGTGAATCAAATTAATGCGAATTAAGTTGTGTTCACACGACAGCTAATGCGAAGTAAACTAATGCGAATTAAAATTTTTCTTCTACAGTCAGGCATCAGTAAGTCTTTTATGACGTCATTTGTAAATCACGTCACATATGCAGAGCCATTCTTTGATACATCATGTAGTGGCTACAGGTATTCATTGATTTTAGTGATTAACATATTTTCCCTCAATATTTGAACCAATTATAGCACAAATACCTACATATAACCACCAACACGTGTCCTGTGACTTAATTCTGGCCTTATGCATGCGTCAAAATTTAATTCAAATTAGCTTCGCTTAGTGTTCACACGGAGCTAATGGGAAGTAATTTAATGGGCAGTAAATTAATTCGAATTAAACTAATTCGCATTAAATTATCCGTGTGAACGCTAGGCAAAGCTAATTCGCAGTAACTTTACGTTTAATTTGAATTAAACTCTCCGTGTGAACAGGGCATTAAATTGAAAGAAGTAACTGAAAACTTGCTTAGGCAAGAGAGATAAAATGTGTTATTTAAGAAGAATTTAATGTTTCTTAGGTCTTTTTGGAATGATGTCAATTAATTCTTATTTTCCTTTAACATATTTACAGGACCCAAACACAATAATAAGTCTGTACAATGCTGTGATTGTCTATTTACAACAAGTACTGACATCCCCAGAACTGTCTGGTTATTCCTGGCCAGTCAGTGAATTCACTCACTCTAAGATGCATGGTAAGTTATGTGTGTATACTGAAAGTCAGAGCTGCTTCAACTCTCTGTCATCATATTTGATTTTAAATACAAGAATATAACATTTATGTTTGTACTAATTTATAGGGCTGGGACGATATATCGAGATATCGATATATTGTGATATCTTTGAGGATGATACACATATCAATACGTTTAAAAAAATATCGAAATATCGCCCAAAAACATCTAGTGACTTCTGTTTTTCTTTGTTTATTTAACATTTAGGGTTTAATATATAACATAAATAAGTTAAATATAAATATAGGAATGAGATAAATAATAATTAACACCACTTGAGTAAAATATTTTTGTTTTACAACATATTAACAACTACTGTAAACCAACTTTTATTCGCGACAACTTTATTTTGCGATTTACTAGGCATAAACTAGTTCGCGACGATTAATTTTCGCGATCAAGCCTTTTGGATCTGTAGTTTTATAAACAAATACATTTTAAGGACCGGTTCGCGGCGAGAAATATTCGCGATGACGAGGCTCTCGCGAACTTCGCGAAAATTTCTTGCTCGCGAATAAAAGTTGGTTTACAGTATTTTGAATAATTTATTCTTATTTGCAAAGAAATAATTTGTTTATTTCAATGCAAAAAAAGGATTTATAAGCAATTAAACATATCGTGATACATATCGTATCGTGGCTCAAATGTGATACGTATCGATATAGAAAAAGTTGTATCGTCCCAGCCCTACTAATTTACTGCTGAACTCACCTGATATTTCAGCAGATAGATTATAGACAAGAATTTTTTTTTCTGTTTTTCCCCTTTTTAGGTCACCTGAGTAAACTCAAGTGACCTATTGCTATCTGTTTTCGTCCGTCGTCGTTCGTCGTTCGTCGTGCGTCGTGCGTTAACATTTGAACATTTTCAGCTTCTTCTCTGCAACCACTTAACCAATTTCAACCAAATTTGGCACAGCATCTATGGGTGAAGGGGAACAAAAATTGTAAATTTCATGATCCCTGCCCCCCTGGGGCCTGAGGGGTGGGGCCAAAACCACTAAAATTAATGCAATCTTTAAAAATCTTCTTCTTTACTCCTGGACATCAAGCAATCAAACTGTTTGCATGATTGTAATCAGCAATGAGTCCTCTACCAAAATTGTGAAATTCATGGCCCTGGGGTCAGGGGTTCTAGTGCTAGGGCGGGGCTAAATAAGTAGGTAGTGAAAATGCATTATTTCTTTGAAAATCTTCTTCTCTGCTCCTGGGTATTAAATAAACCAACAAAGTACATAGTAATGATGAGCAAGAGTGCTTCTACCAAAATTGTGAATTTTATGGCCCCAGGGTCAGGGGTTCTGGTGTTAGGGTGGGGCTCTATTGATTATATAGTGAAAATACATTATTTCTTTGAAAATCTTCCTATCTGCTCCTGGGTATTAAATAAACTAACTAAGTACATAGTTATGACAAGCAAAAGTGCCTCTACCAAAATTGTGAATTTTATGGCCCCAGGGTCAGGGGTTCTTGTTTTAGGGTGGGGCTCTAATGATTATATAGTGAATTGCATGAATTCTTTGAACATCTTATCCTTTGCTCCTGGTTAATATGCTAATGATCTAATTACATATTTAAGGCCAGGATTTATTTTATTTTCAGTTGTACAAATCCTCCGCTCAAGGTTTTGAATTTTCAGAAAAAAAATAAAACATTTTTTTCCCGATGGTCAAATATGAGTCGGGATCGAGATTTCAAATTTACGAACTCGCACTTCCGGTTTTAAGATGAAACGGCGGGTAAATAAAGCTTTCTTGGTTTAGTGTAAAATTCATCGATACGAGTGCCATTCAAAACGTTTCACCCGTTCAAAGGACAAATAAAATGCTGACGACTTTGTTGCACAATGACTTGCTGGTGAGATAATTATGTATTTGTTTCAAAAGTATCTATATCTGTCTGTAAATTATTTTCCTCCCCCAGGTTTTAAACTGCCCGTACGTGGTAGCTATTGCATATTGCCAACGACATTGTTTAGGTCTCTGTTATAGCTTACAGTCTAAGCATCATTCTTCAGATAAGGGTTGCTTATGCATCAGATGTAATGAATAAAACTATGGGAGAAGTTAAGTCCATTTGAGGAAGAAATGAACAATAACCTGAAGAAATAAAAAAAATTAACTATTAAAAGGCAAGAATATACAAATATATACAGGCATGTAGTATCATTTGTATCAGCCAGAGAAATTATTTTACACTTAATTGAAAAAATATTCACCCTACTCCCCAATACTCCCTGTCTGTTTTATGATAGGAATTATAATTTTAGGCATCAAGTAAATTTTAGAACAATGTCTACACATGCATTCACCTAACACATATTATAAAAATGAAGATATATTAAAAGACTTTTAAAGAATTGATTTTTTAAAATATATTTTGACCAACATCACAAAATTTATATAACTGGCCCAAACTGGCGGATGATGAAATAAGCAATTAAATGTTCTACTTTCCTATTTGTAAGCATTATGTCTCCAGTGGTAAGGAGCCTATTAGAATAGCATAAAAAAAGAATGTACAAATTGTTATAATTGATTTATCAAAATTTTTTTTTTTATTTCCTTCTCCTTCGGGACTTTTTTATTCTTATGTTCATAACTAAACCTAAAGATAAAAAAAATGCTGGCCTTCTAATGAAGAGAGGGGCCTCTTTCAAAATCGATAAATTCAGGGCCACTGGGTCAGGGGTACCATGGGGGTACTTTGACTAAAAATAAATTAATGCTTTGAAATCTGCCCTTTGATAAGCAATGGTGCCTCTTTCAAAATTTGTGAATTTCATGGCTTTTGGATTAAAACACGAACCAAATACAATCGCTGGAAAGTTGTTACATGATACTCAGGTGACCTATAAGGCCCGTGGGCCTCTTGTCTTCTCAATGTCTTAGTAAGACTTTATACTAGAGAAGTTGTTAGCGGCTAGCCAAGACTAAGACAACAAGAGACCTCTTGGCCACATTGCTCACCTGAGCACTTTGATAAGAGAAAAGCAGAATTAGTTTAGTATTGAAAAGATGTAAAAGTAAGAGTTCCCGTCTCCCCCTTCCAGAGCAAAAAGGGAGGGGAATTTAAGCAAACTGCAATCTACATATATCAAGGATGTTTTATCTTCCTATATATTACCATGTTAAACTTTTGATCAAGGATGTTTTATCTTCCTATATATTACCATGTTAAACTTTTGATCATCCAATGTGGCCCTGCTGTAGCTCTGGAGGTCATGGTTTGAACTATTAGTAATTTGAATCTATATTACCAGAAAAATGCTCTTCCATAATGCATATGTATTTAATTTTGACTATATTTGGCTTTGCTGTAGTTTTAAAGTTAATTTGTAATGATAATCAAGATTATTTATGGCAAGATTTGCTGAAATTAATCCAAGGAATCTTGAGAAGACGTAAATATGAAAATTTCACAAATGAAAAAGAGAAGCTAGACATTTTTATTAATAATTAGAAGCTCACTTGAGCAATTGGACACAGGTGAGCAAAAAAAAAAGACATGTTTTAGACTAATTTTCTGAAGCTTTGTTTTGAAGATGTTGAGTCTGTTGTTGATAGAACATTTTCACACTTAACTTAGAGTCAGTGTTTTTTTTTTTTTTAGTCAAAAGAGATAAGAATTTCTTTTTTAATCAGGTTTACCTCCCCTGTATTGGAATACAGACAAACACATGACCTTGATCTCTGACCTTCTGGATGACCTTCAGATGCCGAGTTTTGAATACAGTATAGAAGAGGATGATGATTGGTCAACAGTCTGTCGTGATGTTTGGTTTTTTGTTCAGAGAATTACTGATGGATTTTCACCATCTCAGTGTGTAGACCTCATGTCTAAGTAAGTCTGTTACATGTAATTTAAAGTTATTGATCAGAAATTTTGGACACATTTAAGATTTATCAAATGTTACTGTTTTAAAAGTTTTAATCAATTTTTCAAGAAAGGATGATGCTGCCATAACATAATAAGGATATATCAAAGTACTGTTACACCGAAACTTTCTGTTTTTAAATAAAAAACGCCCAAAGTTTCCAACAAAGTTTATTTTGTATTCCCGTGTAACACTTTACACACAGGACCCGACTGAGTAACTAAATGAACACACAAATTCTACGCTAAATATTAAGAACTGCCCAACCTACAGACTGCCAATCACTGCTAAATTAACCCGTTAATTGTGAACACTATGAATTCTGCATTTTCTCATGGCCAGCACTTCGGACATTCAATCCCCCTGAGACTCGGGTGATAAAAGTCAGCAATGCTGATACAAGAGCTAAATTTCCCAGCCAAATCTTAATGAGCGGTCAAGACCTTATCACATAAACAGATCACTGCAGTCTGTAGCTTAGAGTAATTACTACAATTCAACAAGATTAAGATAATATAAATCAAGCATTAATTATACAAACAATTTCACACAAAATTTCACTTTAACACCTCCCTTCCAAAGATAAAAATTTAACTGTCAATAGTTGAATTTTTTTCCAAGTTCATAATTCTGTATATAGCAACATTAAATTTAACCAGTCACTAAATTCACTTTAGCCAGTCCAAATAAGTATTAAACAGTTAATAGCAATTAATCATCAATGGAATAATATAAATCCAAAATGAATTTCACTGTAAATCCAAACTGAATGCACTTGAATTTTATGAATATAAAATTTTCACAAAAATTGCCCATAATTCACAAACACATTTCACTTTTCAGATTCTTGATAATCCGTCTGCATTTGTGTTTTTGCTTCCTCTCTTATATCTAACTTCAAAGGTGTACGATTGTAGTGTGAGGGCCCAACGTAAAAGTCTCTGATTTTTATTCTTCAAGCGATGCAACCATGTTAGTGGATTGTGATCTGTTTCTACGTAAAACTTCCTCCCCTCTAGGTAATACGAAAACGATCCAATGGCCCAAACGATAGCTAATAATTCCTTCTCTATCGTTGAATAGTTCTTTTCCCTTGGAAGTAACTTCTTACTAAGGTAAGCAACTGGGTGATCACCATCTGGCATCTGTTGGCTCAGGACAGCCCCAATTGCGTTATTACTCGCATCTGTTTGTAGTACAAACGGTAAATTGAAATTCGGATTGACCAAAACAGGAGCTGTCATCAGGGCCTCCTTCAGTTTCTTGAATGACTGCACTTCCCTCTCCGTCCATTTTAATTCTGCGGGCTGACTTTTTCTCAGTAGATCAGTCAGTGGTACAGTTATGTCCGCATAATTTCCTATATACTGGCGATAGTATCCAGTTAGCCCCAAGAATGATCTTAATTCTTTCTTTGTCAAGGGAAGCGGAAAATCCTCCATGGCCTTCAATTTCCGAGGGTCTGGTCGAATTGATCCCCCTCCAACTATATGTCCCAAACAGATGATTTCTGTTGCTCCCAACTTACATTTTGATGGTCTGATGGTAAGATTGGCCTCATGAATACGCTGAAGCAGCTCTGTTACATGTTTGATATGGTCTTCCCACGTCTGACTGTAAACAATTATGTCATCAAAGTACGCAACAGTATTTTGAGTTCCATCTAAAATACGATCCATAAGTCTTATGAATGATGCTGGAGACGTCTTCATACCAAACGGCATCACTGTAAACTCGAAAAGGCCAAATGGGGTGATGAAGGCGGATTTCTCGCGCGTTTCCTTTGCCAGCGGAACTTGCCAGTAGCCTTTTGTTAGATCAAATCTACTCAAATATTTTGCGCTTCCAATTTTCTCAAATACTTCACTCATGCGTGGAATGGGATAAGGATCCGTGAGAGTTATTTCATTCAGTTTCCTATAATCAACACAAATTCTAATTGTCCCATCAGGCTTATTGACAAGGACAATTGGTGAGGCCCACGGACTTTTGGATGGTGTAATAAGTCCTTGTTCTAACATTTCATTCAAAGACTCCTTCACTTCCTGTTTCTTAGCTTCCGGTATCCTGTAAGGTCTCTGAGTAATTGGATTCTCAGACATTGTTTTGATTGTATGTGAGATAACATCACACTTTCCCGGCTTTGATGTGAAAATTCTTGAAAATTTCTGACAAACATCCCTTAAACTCTGTCTCTGCACTTGAGTCAGCCCATGTCCAAAGACAAGATCTGAAATGGTTTCTGTGGTGTCGTTAGGAAATTGCTGTTCAATTCCAATTTCATTTTCTGTTCCTGCCAGTAATGTAGCCCGGTTATAAGGACGAAGTAAATTGATATGGTAGGTAACAAGTCCACATCGTCCTCCAACATTGAGTTTATAGTTAACATCATTTACCTTGTTAACCACACGAAATGGTCCTTTCCACTGAGCGGACATCTTGCCAGGTTCGGTCGGGAGTAGAACGAGTACTTCATCACCAGGGCGCAAAGTCCTTTTGGATGCTGAGCGATCATACCAATCTTTGATCTTCGACTGCCTCATTTCCAAGTTGTTTTGCACGAGTTGTGTCACATCAGCCAGTTTGTTTCGGATGTTGACGACATGATCTATCTCTGATGTTTTTATTTCCTCCTCACCAGTCATGAAGCTCTTTAAAACACTAAGAGGACCACATACTGGCCATCCGTACAACAGGTCAAATGGTGAAAAACCAGTCTCCTCATGCGGGACTTCTCTGTACGCGAAAAGTACATAGGGAAGTAGTACATCCCAATCTTCGCCATTCTCCATACACAACTTTTTCAACATTGACTTTAACGTTCCATTAAATCTTTCAACTTTGCCATTTGCCTGCTGGTGATAAGGCGTTGTAGTTATTCCCTTGATTTTGATTTTCTCATATAAATCTTTCAGGAGCGCACTCGTGAAATTTGATCCTTGGTCAGTGAGAATAGTTTTAGGAATTCCAACTCGACTAAATAATGTAATGAGAGTGTCGGCTATTCGTTCAGCTTCACAACTTGGTAAAGCAAAAGCTTCTGGGTATCTCGTAGCTTCATCAATGACAGTCAGAATGTATTTGTTACCTTGAGTTGTCCTATTGAGTGGGCCAACGATGTCCATTGCGATCTTTGAAAACGGATCAGTTATGATAGGTGTGTTGACCATAGGAGCTCTTTCCGCACTTCTTTTTGCCACTTTTTGACAAGTGTCACATTCTGCGCAGTAGTCCGACACATCTTGGAACAATCCAGGCCAATAAAATGACGCAAGAATACGTTGTTTGGTCTTCTCAGTTCCTAAATGTCCAGCTATTGGCTGATCATGTGCCAGCTTCATCACTGCTTTTCTTAGCGATGCTGGAAGTACCACTTGTGTTCCCGACAGATTCTTTTTCTTGGAAGTCCATTTTCGTTTCAATATGTCATTCTCCCAGTAAAACGCTTTATGTTCTGTCTCAGTTTGTGATACATTTTTGAATGCTTTATCCCTACAATTTTTGAGTGTTGGGTCTTGTTTCTGAAGTTTCGATAGTTTATTTCCATTCACCACGCTCAACTTTTCCAATGAAATTTCCGGTAAATCAAGGTTCACTTCACCAGCCTCATCGTCAGTTACCATGACGTTTAAGTCCCTTCGTACGACATCACATTTATTCATGCGATTTTTGGCACTTAATTCATTTTGTTCTTGTTCTTTTGCTTTGGCTCTCGTAACCACAGCTGCAACTTTGTTCCTCTCCAGAACATCTATTCCCAATAAACCATCTGCAACCAGATCAGGTACTAAACCTACCTGAACATGTCCCTTAAACATTGGTGTTTCCAGGTTAACCACAGCTAACTTAGCCTCGAATGGCTGTCCAATAGCTGTAACCAAGGAAGTAGTTTGTCCATGTAGAACACATTTTGGATCAACAAGATCCTCCCGCAATAGCGTCATAGATGCTCCAGTGTCCTTGACCATTGACACTTCCACATCATCCACTTTCCCCGGAACATAATGTAAACCCCATAATGCTCCTTTCACGAAACACGACGCTAGATTACCTTTCTTTGGGCATTTGTTTGCATAATGTCCAAAGTTCCCACAGCTAAAACATTTCACTTTCCAAACTTTTCTGTTTTCCGGAGTTCCCCTGTTCCTGGCTCTTCTTCTCACCTAACACTTTAGGATTTTGAAGTTTTCTGTCCTCGGCCGATTTTGTCGGTAGAATGTAATCCTCAGCAGCTTCAACTAACTCACTACTTCCCTTATTCCGTCTAATCCACTGGGCTTGTTGAGGAGATAATGCCTTTAAGAAATACTCTTCTCGGAACTTTTGTACGTGATCTTTCTCATCAATGAAACGTCTCAAATACAGATCTATTCTCGACATTAATCCTCTGTAAGTTTCTCCTGGTCTACGTTTGATTTCCTCCAGGAACTGAAAGTAGTCTGCTGGGCGCTTGCCGAATCGATTCAAAAGAGCCTTATACAGATCTCTGTATCCCGAAGTCACTTGCTGCGACACTTCTCGAGCTTCTCCGGTTAAAAGTGACCTAAGCTGTAAAGCCTTTGAGTTCTCAGTCCAACCTGCATGCTCAGCTACCGCATCAAATTCAGAGAGATAGCACAAAATGTCATCCTTTTCCTGATTAAATGGTTGAAGTTTAATTTTTGGCATTCCTGTCGAATGTGCACCTGGTGTTGAATTGGCCTTCTCTAGCTGAACACGTAATTCCAAAATTTCTTTTTCATGTTCCAATTCAAGTGTTTTTAAACGTAATTCATGTTCCTGTTTTTGTTTAGAAAGTTGAAATTCCAATTCCAAGTCCTGTTTCCTAGGCATTTTAATTCCGCTTGTTAAATCCAAATATATGTATAAAATTTCAAACAATATTTCACATTTAATTAGGATCCTTTACCGCTGCCACCACTTAAAATGTTACACCGAAACTTTCTGTTTTTAAATAAAAACGCCCAAAGTTTCCAACAAAGTTTATTTTGTATTCCCGTGTAACACTTTACACACAGGACCCGACTGAGTAACTAAATGAACACACAAATTCTACGCTAAATATTAAGAACTGCCCAACCTACAGACTGCCAATCACTGCTAAATTAACCCGTTAATTGTGAACACTATGAATTCTGCATTTTCTCATGGCCAGCACTTCGGACATTCAATCCCCCTGAGACTCGGGTGATAAAAGTCAGCAATGCTGATACAAGAGCTAAATTTCCCAGCCAAATCTTAATGAGCGGTCAAGACCTTATCACATAAACAGATCACTGCAGTCTGTAGCTTAGAGCAATTACTACAATTCAACAAGATTAAGATAATATAAATCAAGCATTAATTATACAAACAATTTCACACAAAATTTCACTTTAACAAGTACTGAGACAGTACTGAAAGACGGGGTCAAAATAATCTTCATGCTAGATTTCACAAAATTAATGTGATTTTTTTTTTACGAGTTTTAATAACAACTTTATTTTTTCATTAACATACTAAAAACAAAACTATGAATAATATACATTCACATTTTTCATTTAATTTGATTTGAAGTAGAAATTTTAATAATTGCTCAGTCTGGAAACCTTTCTGAACTGCTCCGAATTTCATCAGGTACGAACTAATATTTCTCCGGAAGTAAACAATGGATGATGCTTACGCAGTCATAATAATAAGGATGCAGGATAGTACTTTGTCTACTAGTGTTATTTACAGTTAATATTTTCAGTTTTAAATTATCAAAATACTTTATTAGTTGAGTTAGACAAAGGTTCATATCAATTTCTTCAGTTTGATACAAAATGTTTATGTTTTGATCGAAACAATTTCTGCACTCTTTCGTATGCGTAGATTTAATTCATGTGTTATCACCACGGCTTCCATTTTCTATTTTTAGGCCTCTGAGAGTAAACTAAAAGACGGGGTCACATGACCCCGTCTAAAAATACAGTATTTTTAAAATTGCCCGCTGAAACCATACTTCATGTTCAAAATTTCATATTTTGTTCTCCTAGAATTAGAGTACTGCTGCGACAGACTCGTTTAGACTTCGAGGATACGTGTGACCTTCGTACAGGGGTCAGTCAGTGTAACCCAACCTACATCAACATGCCTTGGACGGATGTCATTATGGCCTGTGTTGAATTCAAGATCACTGTAGCTGACTTTACGGATCTAAATTTAGAGGTTTTTATTCATTAACTTTTTAGCTCACCTGAGCCGAAGGCTCAAGTGAGCTTTTCTGATCACATTTTGTCCGTCGTCCGTCTGTCTGTCCGTCTGTAAACTTTTCACATTTTCGACTTCTTCTCAAGAACCACTGGGCCAATTTTGACCAAACTTGGTACAAAGCATCCTTGGGTGAAGGGGAATTTAAATTGTTAAAATGAAGGGACATATCCCCTCGCAAGGGGAGATAATCAAGAAAAGAGAAAAATAGGGTTGGGTCATTAAAAAATCTTCTTCTCAAGAGCAACTGGGCCAGTAAATCTGAAACTTATGTGGAAGCATCCTGGTATAATGTAGATTCTAAATTGTTCAAATCATGACCCCCGGGGGAAGGGCGGGGCCACAATGGGGAATCAAAATTTTATATAGAAATATATAGGAAAAATCTTTGAAAATCTTCTTCTCAAAAACCACTGGGCCAGAAAAAGTGAAGCTTATGTGGAAGCATTCTGGGGTAGTGTAAATTCTAAATTGTAGGAATCATGACCCCCGGGGGAAGGGCGGGGCCATTATAGGGGAATCAAAGTTTTACATAGAAATATATAGGAAAAATCTTTGAAAATCTTCTTCTCAAGAACCACTGGGCCAGAAAAGCTGAAACTTATGTGGAAGCATCCTGGTGTAGTGTAGATTCTAAATTGTTCAAATCATGACCCCCGGGGGAAGGACGGGGCCACAATGGGGTATCAAAGTTTTATCACTAACATTATTCATACTAAATTAAGGCACAACTGTGTATTGAACCAAGACTTATTCAAACGTAATATCATTGATAATCCTTATTGCTCTTGTGGTAAACAGGAAGATGCTCATCATTTTTTCTTTGTTTGTAAAAAATACCTTAATGCTAGAAGTAATCTTTTTGACTATCTTTTTCGACTTGATATAGACATCATAAATGTACACCTACTGCTATGGGGCAACGAAAATCTTTCAATTGAAGTAAACATTGGCATTTTTGCCGCTGTTCATAAATTCATAAATGAATCTTGTAGATTTAGCTAGATGTATTATTGACTCTTATTTGTACAAGTTTTTTTTCTACTTTTTGCATGACAATTACTATGTGTTTATGTTAAGGAGAAGAACTAGTAAGTTGTTAGAACTTGTTTCTTATCCTTTTGCTTGTCAATAAAATATGTTCAAAACAAAACAAAGTTTTATATAGAAATATATAGGAAAAATCTTTGAAAATCTTCTTCTCAAGAACCACTGGGCCAGAAAAAGTGAAGCTTATGTGGAAGCATTCTGGGGTAGTGTAAATTCTAAATTGTAGGAATCATGACCCCCGGGGGAAGGGCGGGGCCATTATAGGGGAATCAAAGTTTTACATAGAAATATATAGGAAAAAACTTTGAAAATCTTCTTCTCAAGAACCACTGGGCCAGAAAAGCTGAAACTTATGTGGAAGCATCCTGGTGTAGTGTAGATTCTAAATTGTTCAAATCATGACCCCCGGGGGAAGGACGGGGCCACAATGGGGTATCAAAGTTTTATCACTAACATTATTCATACTAAATTAAGGCACAACTGTGTATTGAACCAAGACTTATTCAAACGTAATATCATTGATAATCCTTATTGCTCTTGTGGTAAACAGGAAGATGCTCATCATTTTTTCTTTGTTTGTAAAAAATACCTTAATGCTAGAAGTAATCTTTTTGACTATCTTTTTCGACTTGATATAGACATCATAAATGTACACCTACTGCTATGGGGCAACGAAAATCTTTCAATTGAAGTAAACATTGGCATTTTTGCCGCTGTTCATAAATTCATAAATGAATCTTGTAGATTTAGCTAGATGTATTATTGACTCTTATTTGTACAAGTTTTTTTTCTACTTTTTGCATGACAATTACTATGTGTTTATGTTAAGGAGAAGAACTAGTAAGTTGTTAGAACTTGTTTCTTATCCTTTTGCTTGTCAATAAAATATGTTCAAAACAAAACAAAGTTTTATATAGAAATATATAGGAAAAATCTTTGAAAATCTTCTTCTCAAGAACCACTGGGCCAGAAAAAGTGAAGCTTATGTGGAAGCATTCTGGGGTAGTGTAAATTCTAAATTGTAGGAATCATGACCCCCGGGGGAAGGGCGGGGCCATTATAGGGGAATCAAAGTTTTACATAGAAATATATAGGAAAAATCTTTGAAAATCTTCTTCTCAAGAACCACTGGGCCAGAAAAGCTGAAACTTATGTGGAAGCATCCTGGTGTAGTGTAGATTCTAAATTGTTCAAATCATGACCCCCGGGGGAAGGACGGGGCCACAATGGGGTATCAAAGTTTTATCACTAACATTATTCATACTAAATTAAGGCACAACTGTGTATTGAACCAAGACTTATTCAAACGTAATATCATTGATAATCCTTATTGCTCTTGTGGTAAACAGGAAGATGCTCATCATTTTTTCTTTGTTTGTAAAAAATACCTTAATGCTAGAAGTAATCTTTTTGACTATCTTTTTCGACTTGATATAGACATCATAAATGTACACCTACTGCTATGGGGCAACGAAAATCTTTCAATTGAAGTAAACATTGGCATTTTTGCCGCTGTTCATAAATTCATAAATGAATCTTGTAGATTTAGCTAGATGTATTATTGACTCTTATTTGTACAAGTTTTTTTTCTACTTTTTGCATGACAATTACTATGTGTTTATGTTAAGGAGAAGAACTAGTAAGTTGTTAGAACTTGTTTCTTATCCTTTTGCTTGTCAATAAAATATGTTCAAAACAAAACAAAGTTTTATATAGAAATATATAGGAAAAATCTTTGAAAATCTTCTTCTCAAGAACCACTGGGCCAGAAAAAGTGAAGCTTATGTGGAAGCATTCTGGGGTAGTGTAAATTCTAAATTGTAGGAATCATGACCCCAGGGGGAAGGGCGGGGCCATTATAGGGGAATCAAAGTTTTACATAGAAATATATAGGAAAAATCTTTGAAAATCTTCTTCTCAGGAACCACTGGGCCAAAAAAGCTGAAACATATGTGCCCATGAAAGGATCATGGGGTAGTGTAGATTTCAAAATGTCTAAATTTCGTCAGTGGGGTAGGGTGGGGATGCATTATGTATAACAAGGGGGAAATCTGGTAAAGAACAGAATGGTCAAAGCTTCTCAGGTGAGTGATGTGGCCCATGGGCCTCTTGTTTAATGTCCCACTGTCAGATAGAAAAACAATTTCTTGATTTAATTTGAAGTAACTATTTACATTGTCCAAGCCATGTATGTTGTTGAAGGAAAGATTTATGTAATATCACAAGGCTAAATAATAAATATAACAAGGCATCATTCTGTTTTTTCTCTCAAAATGTTATTGAATATGTTATTTATTTAACAGAGTGGCCTTGAGGAAATTTTGTTGGCTTACAGCAAGGATGCCCTGTTAGACTTTGTCCCTCCTGCTGAGTGGCGGTATCTAGAAAATGAAAAAGACAGACAAGGTCAGTGTATAAATTGTAATGTTGATACAATAAATAAAACTCATTGCATTGTGTTTGTGTTATATCCAGCAAGTAATAATAACCACCTACAACTGAAACCTTACTTTTAGTTTATCAGAAAATGAACAAGGGAAAACTTTAAATATGATAAATCAAAATAATGTGTATACTATAAATAAACATAAATTGTACAAAATACCTATTCTGAATTCTTCCAGGAAATGTTTCTCTCGAGAAAACATTGTACAGAGCAGCCACTAAAGAGTTAGCTCGCAGAAGTAGTCTCAGAAATCCTAAGACTGGCTCTTCCAGTGTACCAAAGAAGGAAAAATTTAACACTGTGAATCCCTTACCTAAAACAGTTCATGAGGCCAAGCAAACATCTGAACTTCTGTCAACAACTATTGAAGAAGAGAAACTGAAATCTCAAAAGTTTGACAAATACCTTGAGAGTTTAGTGAGTGGAACAGAGGTAGATCAAACTCTTTCTCCAGATGTTACAAACCTGCCCCAATGGAGCATGTATGATTCCAATGAAGAAGTTAGCATCACGGTGAAGAATTCTTTAAGGGACTCAATGTGTGACCCTGAGGTCAGTGTGAGGGACTCAGTCTGTGACCCAGAGGTCAATGTGTCTTTTAGGGACTCGGTAAACGACTCTGAGGTCAGTGTGTGGAGATATGGACGATACAGTCTGGACAAGACTCTAAATCAGCCCCGGATCTCAGAACAGTTTGACAAACTAGAGGAGGATTTAAAGAGTCAGAGGAGAGCCAGTGGTGTGTTTGAATTACAACTTGAGAGGTGGATCCAAGAGGGTGTATGACTGAAGGCATATACTATGAAATGTGGAAATAAGAGTGTGTATGATTGTAACAAATAAAATTACACAATTAGATAACAATATTTACAGTTGTGTGAAATCGATGTATTTTAAAGTGTACAATATAAAACAGTATATTGCTGTCTACTAGTGGTATATTCGGGTTCTAAAATTGAATTAGAGAATTTGAAATCATTGACAGGAATGCAAAGATAAAAAATATAAAGAGTGCCTTTAGCATTAAGAAACGTTGCTACTTGTGACTGACAGTTTGTGGGATCAGTGGGAATCAATCATCAGTAATCATGTAGTTAAAATTCTTATGTCGCTTGATTACTTAACAATTTGAATTTTTAATGTGATTTACATGTAAATGATATTTTGTAATTAAATGAGTTAATGATTTGTACGGTTGTCTTGAGTAGGTGGAGCAATTTTTAGCTCTACTGGTCAGAGACCAGAAGAGCTTATGCGATAGTAATGCGTCCGTCGTCCGTCCATCTGTCTGTCCGTCTGTCTAGCTGTCCGTCTGTCTGTCTGTCTGTAAACAATTTTTCAAAATGCTACTCCTCCTACAGTTTTGGTCTGATTTCAATATAACTTGGCCCACAAGTACACTACACTAAAATACATAATTCTGTGTATCGGTTTTTGATTTCGATGAACGGTGTTTACCACTTGCCGTTGTTACTAAAAATAGAAATTTCTGTGAAATTCTTTCAAAATGCTACTCCTCCTACAGTTTTGGTCTGATTTCAATATAACTTGGCCCACAAGTACACTACACTAAGATACATAATTCTGTGTATCGGTTTTTGATTTCCGTGAATGGTGTTGCCATTGTTACTAAAAATAGAAATTTCTGTGAAATGTTTTCAAAATGCTACTCCTTCTACAGTTTTGGTCTGATTTCGATATAACTTGGCACACAAGTAGACTACACTAAGATACATAATTCTGTATACCGGTTTTTGATTTCGATGAACAGTGTTGCCGTTGTTACTAAAAATGGAAATTTCTGTGAAATTCTTTCAAAATGCTACTCCTTCTACAGTTATGGTCTGATTTCAGTATAACTTGGCACACAAGTACACTACACTAAGATACATAATTCAGTGTATCGGTTTTTAGCTCACCTCAACAAAGTTGGGGGGAGCTTATGTGATACCCTCAGCGTCGGCGTCCCAGGTTAAGGTTAAGTTTTTTGGAGCAGTTTTCTTTTTAAGAACTTCTTTGTCCTATATTGATTAGACATGCATGGAAGTGGTTCTGGTGTGCTTCATTGTACCAGTCAAAGTTTCAGATGCTGCAATTTCAGCAAAGGAATGATCAGGTTAATGTTTTTGGAGCAGGTTAACATTTTTGGTGTAGGTTTCATTTCCAAGTAACTGTAAGCCTTATGTTGACCAAACTTGCATGGATGATACATCTAAGGATGCATACTACCGGGCTTGCTTCGGATGCTGAACCTGACCTACATTTTCCGGTTGAGTGAACAGGTTAAAGTTTTTGGTGTAGGTTTCATTTCCAAGGAACTATAAGCTCTATATTGACCAAACTTGCATGGATGATACATCTAAGGATGCATACTACTGGGCTTGCTTCGGGTGCTGAATCTGACCTACATTTTCCGGTTGAGTGAACAGGTTAAAGTTTTTGGTGCAGTTTTTGGTGTAGGTCTCATTTCCTAGTAACTATAAGCCTATGTTGACCAAACTTGCATGGATAATACATCGAAGGATGCATACTACTGGGCTTGCTTCGGATGCTGAATCTGACCTACATTTTCCGGTTGAGTGAACAGGTTAAAGTTTTTGGTGCAGGTTTCATTTCCAAGTAACTTTGAGTTCTTTAATGACCAAACTTGCATGGATGATACATATAAGGATGCATACTACCAGGCTTGCTTCGGATGCTGAATCTGACCTACTTTTTGTGGATGAGTGAAAATATTAGTTTTTGATGCATGTTTTATTTCCAATTAACTATGAGCCCTATAATGAGCAAACTTGCATGGACGATACATCTTAGGATGCACACTAATGAACTTGCTTCGGATGCTGAATTCAACATACATTTTTCAGATAATAGACCAGGTAAAAGTTATGGGTGCAAGTCTATTACCAAAAAACTATAAGGCTTATATAACATTGTATAAACCAAACTTGCACAAATGTTGCTCAAGAGATGAAAACTCTCAAATTTACTTCAGATGCTGGATTTTGATTACATTTTCATGAAGAAGAACTAGTTTAAATTTTTTATGTAGGTCTATTTCAAAGTATCAGATCAAAATTGCTTAAATATTTTCATTTTTGGAATGTACACTTTTTGTTGGTTAATTGAGTGAATTTGCCTTACTTAAAGACAACATTCGTTGAGGTGAGCTCTGTAATCTCTGATTACCTATGTTTGATTTCAATGAACGGTGTTGCCGTTGTTGCTAAAAAAAGAGAAATTTCTGTGAAATTCTTTCAAAATGCTGCTCCTCCTACAGTTTTGGTCTGATTTCAATATAACTTGGCACACAAGTAGACTACACTAAGATACATAATTCTGTGTATCGGTTTTTGATTTCGATGAAAGGTGTTGCCATTGTTACTAAAAATAGAAATTTCTGTGAAATTCTTTCAAAATGCTACTCCTCCTACAGTTTTGGTCTGATTTCAATATAACTTGGCACACAAGTAGACTACACTAAGATATATAATTCTGTATATCGGTTTTTGATTTCGATGAACGGTGTTGTCGTTGTTACTAAAAATAGAAAATTCTGTGAAATTCTTTCAAAATGCTACTCCTCCTACAGTTTTGGTTTTCTGTTTTGGTTTTCTTAAATTTCTGTTAAAAACTCTCAAAATTCTACTCCAAATACAGTTTAAGTCTGATTATAATATAATGTGGCATGCAAGCAGACTACACTAAGAACATAAAGAGACTTAATCAAGGAACATTATTCTTTTTATTGCTGTGGTAAAGTTTCAATTCCCAACTGCTTAAGAACTTCTCTCTTCCTTTGCTATAAGTACAAACCAGTAGAGCTTCAGTCTCCACAGAGACTTCTGGTTTGATTATAAAAATAAAAAAGAAATCCTTGATAGAAATCAAGTAAAAACAAAACTGTAGATTCCTAAATATATGCATAGAATTAATCAACGCTTAATTTTGCGAGAAGCACCTTTATTTTTATGGTGCTGAAATCTGTGTAACATATCTTGACCAAAATAGATACATTACATTGACACATTCATATTGTAAGGTACATTTGAAATAAATAAATAAACAATGGAGATGATTGTAATTTTTTTTAATTGTTGCGTAATCATACAGAGCAGAATGGGGTTGAAACACACACCCCCTCCCCAAGTTAGCGCTATAAATCAAATCATGAGTCCAAATCACGCTGGAGTTTACATACATTCACCTTTCTGAACAAATTTAATGAATGAAATTATCACACTGCTCAACGCGTTATCGGCTACTCGGTTGTTATCGGACACTCGGTTGATAACAATTTTTGACAGGTTAGTAAATTATTTTAAATAAACTCTGTTAAAATAGAAACAAAGAATATTCATTGTGCTTTTTGTGAACAGAAATGAATACAGATACAAAATAAAGCCTCGATACGCATTGGTATAGAGTTTGTTAGCCCTTGGAAGGCTTTAAAAGTCAAATTTGTTATATTTTGCAAGTTTTTCTCCGATTGGTATTGTTGTAAATAGCTTTTTTCTTCAAAATCCTTATATTATGTTCCCCAAACGAAGTTGGGGAACATATTGTTTTTACTCTGTTTCTTATTATTCTTATTATTATTATTATTAAGGTCTTCCGACTTCCTTCGGAAGACCTTATTGTTTTCCGTCGGTTTCCTATTATTATTATTATTCTTTTTTTCATTTCTAGGGCGATATCTCAGCTGTGACTGTACGGATTTCAAAGATTTTTACAGGAAAGATGCACCATGTTAATACCTCCAGACGTGTTTTTCATTTTTTCAAAATTTTCTTTCGTTTGCGATTTTTAGGGAAATTTGTATTTTTTAAATGGATTTTTGTACACAACTTTTCTCGAAAACGGCCAAAGATATGACATTGAAACTCATGGACATGAATGAGCATCACATGTAGATGTGCCGAACGTCCTCCATTTTTTGTCGTTTCTACTTCCGGTCGTAAACGGAAGTGAATTCAAAAAGTGTAATTTTTCAACTTTTTTGTTTTTCAATATTTTTCTTTCAGATTTACAGGGTTTATAGAGCGTCCTCAAAGATATCTATATATGTTTTCATTTTTTTCATGCGTACGTATATTGCAAAGATATGACCGAACCAAACTTTGTCTTACTGTCGGGGGTTCGAATCCCGCTCGGGGCGTTCCTCAAATTTTTTCTTTGTTTTTGTCTTTTTTTAGTTGCAAATTACTTTTCACACTTTTATAACAGGTGTGGAACATTTTGCCGATTTTTAAAAGCTATATTAGGAGATATTTTGTCAAATACCTTGAACAATCACGATCTGTGTGGAGAAACTACTGTAAATGAACGTAAACGAAAAAAAATACATTATGAAATCTATTTCATGGGATGACACAGCATAGGTTGCAAAAGAGAAGTCGGTCGGAAGACCTGCTTGTTGCCCCAGCAACAAGAACGCATCTAGTTATTATTATTCTTTTTTCTTCTTATTTCTTCTCCGGTACTTTTTTGTCCGGAAGTGTTCTCAGAAACTGTTCACCAAACTAAGTTAAAACCTTTTTAGGGTTAGTAGGCATGTTGTGTAGATGTGCCGAACGAAGGTCATTTTGCGGGCATTCGCATGCACGTGCGGGCGCGTGCAATGAATAAAATGACTGATATATTTAATATGGTTGTAACTTTTATATTTTTTGATAAAATGTTTTGAAACTCATTATATAAAGATATATAAGTTGTGTAGATAAGATGACATGGTCAAATTTGCATGAACTCACGCGCATGCACGTGCGCTTTGCTCTGATTGGCTGAAACAGAAATCTCAATATCTTTTTTGTTTTATGATGAAATGCTTTGAAATTTATAACATAGACATGCATTAGTATGTACTACAATATGATATATAAAATTTTTCATGAAATCACGCGCATGCACGTGCGCTGCAATCTGATTGGCTGAAACTTTAAATGAGTATAACTCCCTTGGTTTTCAACCAAACAGCATGTGATTTACAACATAGATAGACATAAAGGACTCCTACAGGATGGTATGGTCATCATTCACATGCATGCATGTGCGTGCACGTGCGCTTTGCTCTGATTGGCTGAAACAAAAATCTCAATATCTTTTCTGTTTTTTTACAAAATGCTTTGAAATTTAAAACATAAGCATACTTTAAGATGTCCTACAATATGATATATAACAATTGTCATGAAAATACGCGCATGCACGTGCGCTGCAATCTGATTGGCT